CCCCATCTCTAATAAAAATACAAAAATTAGCCTGGCGTGGGGATGGGTGCCTGTAATCCCAGCTACTTGGGAGGCTGAGAAAGGAGAATCACTTGATCCTGGGAGGCAGAGGTTGCAGCAAGCCATGATTGTGTCAGAGTAAGACTCAAAAGAAGAAAAAGAAAGAAAGAAAGAAAGAGAGAGAGAGAGAAAGAAACAAAGAAAGAAGGAAGGAAAGAGGGGGGAGGGAGGGAGGAAAGGAAAGAAGGAAGAAAAGAAGGAAGGAAGGAAGGAAACAAAACAGGGAAATCTCCAAACACTAGGAAATTAAACAAAATACTTTCAAATAATCCATGTGTCAAAGGGGAAGTCACAGGTGAAATTGAAAAATACATTGAACTGAGTGAAAATGAAAATGCACCCTACCAAATTTGTGGTACACAGCGGTGCTGAGGGGGAAATTTAAAGCATGAAATGCTTACATTAGAAAAGAGGAAAAGTCTCAAATAAATAATTTAAGTTCCAACTTCAATAACCTAGAAAAATAAGAGCAAAATAAACCCAAAGCAAGCAGAAGGAAGGAGAGAATAAAGACAAGAGCAGAAATCAATGAAGTTGAAAACCGAAAAGAAAAACAGAGCAAATCAATGAAACAAAGAACTGGTTCTTCAAAAAGATCAATAAAGCCAGTGGTGGTGGTTACACAAATCTACACTTGTGACAAAATGGCACGGAATTATACACAAACATTCTGCCAATGTCAATTTCCTTTCTGGTTTGCATATTGTGCTATAAATATATAAGATTTGGGGAAAACTAGGTAAAGGGCTCATGGGACCCCTCTGTGCCACCTTTGCAACTTCCTGTGAATCTAAAATAATCTCAAAATAAAAAGTTAAAGAAATTTGAAAACATTTGTACAACTAAAACATTATTTATTTTACAATGGTATATAAATTCCTCACAGGGAAACTATAAGGTGCTGTGATAACATATCAAGTGGACCCCATTTCTTCATCTGTTTTTGACCTTCCAAGAACCTGGTTACCCTTTTTTGAATGGTGTCTAAATTGTCAGTGTCCCTCTTAAATAGTGATGCCCAGAAGGGAACACCCTGCTTCAGACGGAGTATCACTTCCCTGGTTCTAGACACAATACTTTTATTAATATGGCCAGTCTTCTTTTGCTCTTTAAGTAGCCATAACACACATTCTTGCATCATTTTTAGTCTTGTAGTCAAATAAAACTTTCAGATCCTGGCATTTAGATGGAAAATTTTTTTTACCATTAGTACTTATATAATTGGTTATCACAAACCTAAATGGAATATCTTTCATTAATCCTCATGGGATTTCATCTTGTTGAATTCAGACCAGCTCTGTCCCAGCCATCAAGATATTTTTCAAACTTGATTTGTCTATAATAAGGATGTGTTGGTCCATTTGTGTTGCTATAAAGGAATACCTGAGACAGGGTAACTTAAAAAGAAAAGAGGTTTATTTGGCTAATGGTTCTGCAGGCTATACACAAAGCATAGTGCCAGCATCTGCTTCTGGTGAGGGCCTCAGGAAGCTTACAATCACGGTGTAAGGCAAAGAGGGGCCAGTGTGTCACATGGCAAAAGAGAGAGAGAAAGGGATGAGGTGCCAGACTCTTTTAAACAACCAGATCTCATGTAAACCAATAGAGTGAGAACTCACTTATTATTGTGGAACAGCACTAAGACATTCATGAGGGATCCACTGCCATGACGCAAACTCCCCCAACCAGGCCCAACTCAAACATTGGAGGTCACATTTCAACATGAACTTTGGAGGGGACAAAACATCCAAACCATACCAAAAGGCTATCTTCATATTGTGAGTCAGCTGCAGATACGTCAGAATCTATCATTCTGTGCCTTCATCTCACTCACTGCTATTGAAAATGTTGTGCAGCACAAGGTTCAGTAGCCATAGAGGTGTGCTGCTATGATCTTTAAGAAAGAATTCACCATTCGGCTGCCAGGAGTTAAGTTAGCTAATAGCCTTTAACCGTTAATGGCTTCAGGCTTAGCCTCAGCTTTAAAAAAAAATTTAGTGGAAAAAAACCCCACATAATCCAAGATCTACTCTCTTAATTTTTTTTTAAGTGTGCAGTATAGTACTATTAACTATAAGCACAATGCTATATAGTAGATGTCTAGGACTTTTTAATCTTGCACGAGTGAAACTTTATACTTGCTGAATGGCAACTCTTCCACTTCCCACTACCCCCAGTCCTTGGCAGCTACCATTCTACTTTCTGTTTCAATGAGTTTGACTTATTTAGATACTTCATAGGTGGAATCATGCAGTATTTGTCCTTCTTGTGAGTGGATTATTCCATTTAGCATAATGTCCTCCAGTTTCATCCATGTTGTGGCATGTGACAGGATTTTCTTCCTTTTTAGGGCTGAAAAATATTCCATGGAAGGTAATGTAGAGTGCCACATTTTCTTTATCCATTCATGTGTTGATGGACATTTAGGTTGTTTCCACCGCTTGGCTATTGTGAATAATACTGCAGTGAACATAGGAGTGCAAGCATCTCTTCAAGATCCTGATTTCAATCTTTTGGATAATACCCAGAAGTAGGATTGCTGGATTGTATATTAGTTCTATTTTTAATTTTTTGAGAAACCTCCATACTGTTTTCCATAGCAGTTGCACCATTTTATATTTCCTCCAACAATGCACAAGGGTTCCAGTTTCTCCCCTTCCTCACCAACACTTGTTATTTTGTTTGTTTGTTTTAAATTATGGCCATTCTAACAAGTGTGAGGTGATGCTTCATTGTGATTTTCATTCGCATTTCCCTGATGATTGGAGATGCTGGACAGCTTTTCATAGATTCATTGGCCATTTGTATGTCTTCTTTTGAGAAATGCCTATTCAAGTCCTTTGCCCATTTAAAAATTGGACTATTTGGATTTTTTTTCTTGAGTTGTTGATATTTTGGACAAACCTCTTATCAGATACATGATTTGGAAATATTCTCTCCTATTCCATTGGTTGCCTTTTTACTCTGTTGATTATTTCCTTCTTTTGTGCAGAAGCTTTTTAGTTTGATATAGCCCTAACTTGTCTATTTTTGCTTTTGCTGCCTATGCTTTTGGTGTCATATCCAATAACTCATTGCTAAGATCAATGTCATTAAACTTTTAGATTTATGTTAGATTTATGCCTAGATACTTCATTTTTTGGAGTTATGTAAATTGCATTAAAAAAATTGGTTTCCAAATTGTTATTATACAGAAACTTGATTGCCAAATTATTAGTGTACAGAAATATTGGTGTGTTGACCTTATATCCTACAACCTTGCTGAACTTGCTTATTAGTTCTAGAATTTTGTGTCTGTGGATTTCTTTGACTTTTCTTTATAGACGATTATCTTACCTGTGAATAAGGACATTTTCTTCCTTTTCAATATGTACACATTTTATCTTTCTTGCTTTATTGCACCAGCTAGGACTTCCAGTATGAAACTGAATAGGAGTAATGACAGTATATTTCCTTGCCTTCTTCCCAATCTTAGAAGGAAAGCATTCCATCTTACATTATTAACAATGGTGTTTGCTGTAGATTTTTAAATAGATGCCTTTCATTAGGTTGAGAAAGTTTCTTTCAATTCTTAGTTTGCTGAGAGTTTTTTGTTTTTTCATGAATGAATGTTAACTTTTAACAAATGCTGTTTCTGCATCATTTAATGTAATCATATGGTTCTTCATTAGCTTGTTGATATGATGGAGTGCATTGATTTTTGCATATTGAATGAGGCTTTCATTCATAAACACTACTTGGTTATAGGATATTATTCTCTTTGTATATTGCTGGTTTGATTTACTGATGTTTATATCTGTGGTCAAAAGGAATCTTAATATGTCATTTTCTTTTCTTGTAATGTCTATATCTGGTGTTGGCATCATGGAAATACTGCCTTCAAAAAATAAGTTGGGAAGTGTTTTATTCTCTGGAAGAGATTTGCAGAATTAGCATTATTTATTCTTTAAATGTTTGGTAGAATTTTGGAACTATCTGGACCTGGAACTTTCTTTTCTAAAAGATATTTAATTATACATTTAGTTTATTTTAATGGTTACTGTACTAACAATAATTTTAAAAAGCTAACATTTAGTGAAAGCTGGTTATGTGACTGGTACAGAACCTAGAACTGAAATTTATGTCCTTTAATCCTCTTGGCAACATTTTGGGGTAAGTATTATTATCCCGTCACTGAGAACTAAAGTGGTTTCATAACTTGTCTATGATCACATAGCTAATGAATAGCGTAGCCTGGATTCAAACACAGGCTTTACTCCAGAGAATATATTCTTAATGATCGTCTTTGTGTTCTCTCTGTAAACAACTAGACACAACAAGGAGAATGAGAAACAGGAATAGAGGCTGAGTACAGTAGCTCATGCCTGTAATTCCAGCACTTTGGGAGGCCAAGGCAGAAGGATGACCTGAAGTCAGGAGTTTGAGACCAGCCTGCCCAATATGGTGAAATCCCTCTACTAAAAATACAAAAATTACCAGGGTGTGGTGGTGCGTGCCTGTAGTCCCAGCTACTTGGGAGGCTGAGGCATGAGAATCACTTGAACCTGGGAGGCAGAGGTTGCAGTGAGCCAAGATTGTACCACTGCACTGCAGCCTGGGCAACAGAGTGAGACCCTATATCAAAAGGAAAAGAAAAGAGAGAAAAGGAAAAAAAAGAAACGGGAACAGGAACAGAAATCACACTTCCAGTGAGAGTAGGAGAGTAAGAGGCAGCTATCACCTGAAATTACAATGAGTATGGAATTGCTGCTTAGTGCAGTGAGGAAAGATGGCGGTCAGGAAAGAGTCCCTGGCTCTTCTAATGCCAGGCACATGTAGTAGGGTAGAGTCCTCTAGGGTATGTGGCACACCACTGTGGACAAAATCACTAACACCTGACTTGCCCCAACATGATACAGGTGCACAGGCTGGCTACAGAAGTGGTAACTGAAGGGGGCCAGGCCAGGAATTGATGATAAGCCATCTTTGCATAAAGCAGCCTGTTGGTGGGGAGGACACTGAGATTGATGACCAGACTGGCTCCTGTCTACCATTATTGGTTGAGGCGAAGAAAAGACTAAACCAACAACTCTCACACACTATCTTGTACCTTGAGAGGCTCCAAGGAACTCTGAACCAAGAAAATTTTTTGTTGCTCAGAACTCAGCACTGTCCCTTCTGCTTTCCACAGAGCTGGTCTAGCAAAATCAATCATCATTGAAATATTAGTAATAATAAAAAGAAGGCAATATAGAAACTATACAAAAATATCCTCAAGAATAAAGGAGCATGGTGAAGACAGGACCAAAAAGCACACACCAGAAATAGTTGCCATGGAAAAAAAATAAAAATCATGACCAAAGATATGCAAAAAAAACTTAGAAAATCTGTGAATCAATCATGGGCTTAAGCAAAGATACAATACCTCAAGAAAGAAATAAGATAAAGGAGATTAAAAATGAGCTGACAGGGCCTAGTGTGGTGGCTCACGCCTGTAATCCCAGCACTTTGGGAGGTCGAGGCGGGTAGATCATAAGGTCAGGAGATCGGTACTATCCTGGCCAAAGTGGTGAAAACTCGTCTCTACTAAAATGCAAAAAAACCCAGCCGGGTGTGGTGGTGCACACCTGTAGTCCCAGCTACTCGTGAGGCTGAGGCAGGAGAATGGCTTGAAACTGGGAGGTGGAGGTTGCAGTGAGCCGAGATCGTGCCACTGCACTCCAGCCTAGCAGCAGAGCAAGGCCCAATCACAAAAAAAAAAAAAAAAAAAAAAAAAAAGAGCTGATGGAGCTCAAGACAGAAATAAAAGAGAAATGAAGGCCATATTAGAAACAGCAAAAAGGAAAAGAGTGCTCAAAAAACAGCTATGGACACGGAAGGAAGGCTTGGAAAAAGTGAGCAAAATGAATGAAAATACAACAAATAGTTTAAAAAGTTTAAAAGGATTGAAGAGAAAGGGACATATATAGAGAACAAAGGTGATCCACCATATGCATGATTGGTGTTTCTGAATAGCAGAATAGATTGAATGGAACCACAACGTCAACAAAAATGTTCAAATGTATCATTCAAGAGTGCTTCCAGTAATAAGACTTGAGTTCATAGCTTGAAAGAACAAATTTATCCCAGGTAAAATTGCCAGAGAACAAGTAAGTTCAGTTCATATACTGATGAAGTTACTGGACTTTGGAGAGTAAGAAAGAATCCTATAGGAAATCTTGCAAATAAACCACATAATTTGTGACTGGAAAAAAATTGTCTGGCTTCCAACCTCACCATAATAGCATCCAACATCAGAAGATGGAGGAGCAATGCCTACCAAATCTTCAGGGAAAGAGTATGTGTGCCAAGCCAGACTGTCATCCAAGTATAATGTCAAAAACAGATGCCTTTATAGTTCCCATGAGCCTTTTTTCTTGGAGATGCAATTGTCTGATAAATTTCTACCAACAGATGTAATAGTAAAAATGATGAGAGTGATCAATGGGCCCATTAAAGGCTAACGCAACTATAGAAAGAGAATATCACATAAACGTATATACTCCAATTGTATAAATAGAAATCATACAATTCTGGAGATTCTAGAGGGGGGAAAACATGTAGGCAGTGCAAATATGCCAATGTTCTCATCTTTTGAGAATTCTTTAAAGCCTATAGCTCAATAATAGAGACAGAAGTATTTTTTCACTGAAGGTAAAAATTCACTTTAACATGTTATGTATAGGGACTAAAGAACATTTATTTATTTATTTTTAACATTTTATTGATTGATTGATTGATGGAGTCCTCCTCTGTAGCCCAGGCTGGAGGGCAGTGGCACAATTTCGGCTCACTGCAACCTCTGCCTCCTGGGTTCCAGTTCAAGCAATCCTCCTGCCTCAGCCTCCGGAGTAGCTGGGATTACAGTAATGTGCCACCATCCCAGCTAATTTTTGTATTTTTAGTAGAGACGAGGTGTCACCATGTTGGCCAGACTGGAACATTTTATTTTTAAAGAATTTTAGATTTACAGAAGAGATGCCAAGACAGTACAGAGCATTCCTGTATACCCTTCACCCAGGTTCCTCTGATGTTAACATCTCACTTAACCGTGGTACATTTTTCACACCAAGAAATTAACTTTGATATAATACTTCTAACTAAACTACAGATTTTATTTGTGTTTTCCTCTTTTTTCTTTCCAGATCTGACCCAGGATGCCACATAGAATTTAGTCATCATCTGCTTAGTCTCCTTCAATCTGTGATCGTTTCTTGGTATTTAAGGAATATTTATTTTTAAAAGCTTTTTATTATGGAAAAATTTAAACATATGCAATGGTAGAAATGGCAATGAGCCCCATGTACTCATCATTCAGCTTCAACAGTTCACATTTTGCTAGTCTTGTTGCATTCATACACCGCCTCAATATTTTTTTGAAGTGTTTTAAAGCAAAACTCGGGCCAAATCACTTCACCCATAAATGTTTCAGTAAACATCTGTACCTAATAAAGACATTAAGATAATATAAATGCCATGCCACTATTATATGTCAAAAATGAAAAATAATTCTTTAATATAATCTCATTTATGCCATATCCAGAGTTCCCCAATTCTCACAAATAAATAATTTTCACTTAGTTTGTTCACATCAGGATCCGAGCAATCATATACTGTATTTGATAATTATAGTCCTTAAGTTTCTTTTGTTATATAGCCCAGACCCCCAACCTGTACCACTGATTTATTGAAAAAACTAGATCATTTGTCCTGTAAAATTTCTTACATTTCGGATTTGGTTGTTTCTGCAGGGTGTCATTTAACTCATTGTCTATTCCCTGTCTATTCCTTGTGTTTCCCGAGAATGGATAGTTATAGAGGCTTTATTAGATTAAAGGTTTTTTTGCATAGGCAAAAAATACTGAATAGGTGATGCTGTGTACTTCCCATCCGATCACATCAAGAGGTACATCATGTGTGTTGTCTCACTTGTAGAGATGTTAAAATTGATTAGTAGGACCAGGTGGTATCAACCTGATTCATCTATTATAAAGTTCTTGTTAAGCTTTTACCTAATGGTTTTAGCTGCCAATGATGATCATCACGGATAGTCTTAGCTTTATTGGAACCCAATAAATGGTGATATTCTTATTGTATCATTTATTCCACCCATTAGCTGAAATTCTTCTAAAAAAAGAATGCTCTTTATCAACTATTTAGTTACCTAGAAAAAGGCAGGGTGTTTGATTCTTTCTCTTTTTTAAAAACCAATTTTCAGAACAACAAATTGATACTCTAGCAACCTCCAGTGATGACCAATGCGTGTTCTGGCTTTTTGTTTCATTTTAAAAGCATCATTAGGAACTTGTGAAGTTCAAAGAATGAATGTTTATCAATCAGTTGCAATAATTATTTATTTTGATGCTTAAATTATCTCATCTTGAACCAGTGGGAACACTTACAAGTTGGTGGCTGTGTCCTTGTGACACAGCCCCAGTAGTCACTAGTAGCTTCTTCACTTATTTTGTACATTTTCTATCTTTGACTAGTATCAACTATTTCTCCAAAAAGCTCTGTTTCCTTTAGGTGGAAAATGATATTTATTTGCCAACATTTTGGTACTAGTGTGCTCTCTAGATACTGAGTCACTATTGTATCTAAGTCTTTTCAGTGTACAAAGCTAAGAAATGCAATTTTATTTGAAAAAAACTAAATCATGAATTCATACTGATATTGCCAATTCAAATGTATGATTAAAGGGTTTATGTTTAATTTATTTAATTTTATACTGGCAAGTTTTTAATGTGTGGAAAACTCTCATCCCTGACAACATTAAACATAATTATGAATTTGCCTTATGACATGTATGTGTAAATAGCAATACTAGTATTACTAAGACTACTGATAGCAGGTTAAGATGTTTTTAGAGTGTTTGGTCCTTATGGTATCTTCCACTTGGTTTGTGTAGTCAAAACACTGTATTTTAAAGCAATTTGAAATAATTTTGTTTTTCTCTATGAGGCCATGTATGGTGCACTGTAATGTATGAGTGCTTCTAATTGACTGAACCCAAATCCCATCCCAAACCCTGGCTGCAAAAGGGCTTTTATCTTTTCAAACTCTGCATACGGAAATGCATGTGGAACAAATCAGTCTGCTGAGTCTATCCCTATCAGGTTATAGGTAAGGGATTCTAGGTTGTTTGCCAAAAGGCTAATGGGTAGGGGATCAGGAAATGTGATGACTGCTTAGAATACCTGCTTTAGGAAGGTGAGGGGAAATAGATGCAGGGATACACAGATTGATTGATACACATGAGTGCTCAGGACCTATCTGAGGAGAGAAAGCTTGAATTCCTAATGGCATTGTCTGCATGACTGCATTTAGTAGCCAAGCTAAGAGGCGAGGAGAGTGGCCTTTGCAATGGTGGGAGTAGTGAAAGAACAGGAAACATAGGATGCTGTGGTGCCGGGAATGGAGGAATACATGAGATACACTATGAGCTCTAGACTCCAAAAGAAAGGAAGTTAAAATAGACGGAAAAATAACCATAAACACTCCAGTGAGCCAGGCATTGTCCTAAGCACTTTACATCTGTTAACTCATTTAACCCTTACAACAATGTTGAGGCTGGTATTATCATTACCTCCATTTTACAGATAAGGAAATTGAGATGCTGAGAGGTTAATTTATCCAAGGTACACAGCTTGTGGCAGAACCAGAGTTTAAATCCAGTCTGGCTCCAGAGACTGAAGCAATGAGACATCATTTTATACTCAAAACCTGGCAAAACAAACAAACAAACTATAAAAGCTGTAATACTTATAGTGGGAAGAGTTATAGATTAAAAAGTATCTTGCACACTGGATATGGACATTGAAGTATTATAGCCATTTTAAAAAGTAATTTGGGCTGGGTGTGCTGGCTCATTCCTGTAATCCCAGCAGTTTGGGAGGCTGAGGCAGGCGGATCACTTGAGGTCAGGAGTTTGAG